AGCTAATGGTCCACAAGCCAAAATGGAAAAAGAGAAAACTGCTAGTTTACCAGCTGGATACACACTAGAAAAAACAATAATGGTATTTTGTTTCATGAAAAGAAGACAAACTTTGGAGTTAGAGAAATCAATGTTTGAATTTGGATCTGTCATTTAATTGTGACTCAGGAAGTATCTCTGAACCCCATTTATCCTCATTTGGGGAAAGGGCGTAAACATTATCTCTTAGGACTATCTTAAGAATTAAATGATATACATATCAAAACTAAAATGCCTTGCATGTTACAGGATTTCAACAAATGTTATCAGCTTCATAGGATTTATGTGAAATTCAAACAAACATATTTTGCAAGGTTTTAGGTAGTAAATAACAGTGAGAAATGCACAGAATTTGGAGTTGAAAGGCCTGGGTCCACATCTCAACTTTGCTCCAAATGGTCTGTGTGTCCCTGGCCATGGTATTTACCTTCCCATTACCTCAAATATACAATGACGGTAACAACATCTGCCCTATTCAGCCATCAGGGATGCATTGAGGATCAAATATAATAATCGCTGTACAAGTACTTTCTAACTGCAAGGTAATACATATATGATTACTCTTACTATCAAGAAATAATTGAATACTTGTAATAAAAGTAGCTTCTTCCTACAAAGATTGGAGAACTGTGCTTTATAAAGTTAGTACCATTTTCCAGGCGCCACTGAAGTATTTCTGAATTTATATCAACATCTGCTATAAGAAACCTAGATTCTACTGGACACACTTCTTTAAGACCAAAGTTCCATACCATTTTTTGAACCAAATTTCCAGCGAACTAATTTTGACAGAGTGCTGCTTCTCAAAGATTTGGGGTTGAGTTAGGACAAAAATTTCTGTAAAACAACACAGAATTAGCTAATGGGAAGGTTACTTGGCTTGATATGTGAATGAGGGGAAATCTGTTTTTTATTAACTATCACAAGTTAAACCACAAATACCTTCCAGAAATGAAAATACATACGTTAATAAGCATGAATACTAAAAAGAGCAGCTTGTGACCCAGCAGGAAGTTGCCACAAGGAACGAGTCAAGAACCACTGCCTTGAGGGTAGAGGATGTGAAAACTTATAGGTATGGAGTAATGAGGCCCCTTGGAATTATGTGGCCACTCAGCAGTAATGGATGAAAATTAGTTATTTCAACTTTCCAATAAATCATCCTGCCACATTGTATTTTTGTAAACAAAAATATAGACACCTGGTTTCTTCCAAATGTTTACACAAATTAATTCCTATGGCACTATTATGAGCAGCTATCCTTACTAAACAGATGTGTAAAAAGATGCAGAGGGAGTAATTCCTTTATAGACAATCAGAAGATTCAGTAGCAAGGTCAAGATTAAATATCATAAGTTATGGACTTTGTAACTTAACCAAAGGGCTCAGAACCAAGTGCCTAGAAAAGCACCAAGTACCCAAGTCATAACATGTAAGAACCCACTGGTAAAATTCATATTAGCAAATCATTTCACTACTGCCTGACAAACACACTACATCAAAGCTGCACGTTCAAGTGACAAATACATCTTTCCCTATCATGTGAGCAAACACCCATGGACTAAGGTGCTTCTAAAACATTTTAACTTGGCTCAAGATTTATTAAATAGAACGTTCGTGTAACAGCACAAGAATAATGTTCAACACAAACTCAGAATAGAATATGTTTAGAACAGAATGTACAAGAATAAGTGTGTGTCTCTGGTAATGTAGCACAACCACGATGAAGACCAGAGCTCCCCAAAAGCAGATCAGGACCTACTAGAAAATAAAAGTGGTTATCTGGATCCAACTACCCCCTCCTTCCTGCTCCCCAGTGCAGATCATCAAGATCCACAGAGATTCCCAATGGGCCTAAGAGTGAGCTACGGGGAAAGCAACATTTGTTATCCTATTTATATGATGTACCAGACTGTCAACATTTCATCTTAACCTTCTAATGATCTAACAGTCCAGGGGAATACAAAATCATTCTCATCTCGGAAGCTTGTCTAAGAGTGATCAAAGGGCTCCTAAAGCATAAAACCGTGGGAAATACATATTTAACTTGAGTATTACCATTTTTTTCCTCCATGATAAAACAAAGATATAAAAATGTCCAACTGTCAAAGTTAAAACACCAGAACAGGCCAGAGGGGGTAGCTCACACCTATAATCCCATTACTGGGAGGCCAAGGCAGGAGGATAGCTTGACCCCAGGAGTCTGAGACTAGCCTAGGCAACATAGTGGAACTCTGTCTCTACAAAATATAAAAAAATAAATGAGCCAGGCATGGTGGTACACACCTGTAGTACCAGCTACTTAGGAAGCTGAGATGGAAGGATCGCCTGAACCCAGGAGGTTGAGGCTGCAGTGATCTGTGATCATGCCACTGCACTACAGCCTGGGCAATAAAGTAAGACTTTGACTCAAATGAATGAACCAATGAATGAAACACTAAAACAGGTATCTACAAAATCCTATCATCTTCCTTTGCAGTACAGTCATGCAGAGTCACTTTGAAGAAGCTCTGCCATAACTTGCTCCGTGGTTTTGGACAAACCATCCTCATCTGTAAATGAGGTAATAATACATAATATCTTTATTATTAGGAGGACAATCATATTTTTAACTTATAGGACTATTAAAAAGAGGTAAAGAACAGAAAGCTCATGACATTACCTGGCACTAATATTCTCTAAATAACAGCAATTAATACAAGCTTATATTTTATAAAATATAAATACAAGCATGTGTGCTACATATATGAGCAATTATTTTTACACCTCAGTCTTTTAAATGGAATAAATATTACAGTTAGAGGTTCAATTGCTTAGATAGCTTGGGACCTCTTTCTATCATAATAAGCAAGTACAACCAGGAGCATAGTTGAATAACTGTGTCATCTCCCTATCTTTTTAACCATATGCTGGAGTAATATACATTCTGTGGGTTTTATAAATCAGATTACTTTTTAAAAGATAGTATTAGAGAGTTTTGGAATCAACAGAAAAATTTTAATCCAAACATTACCTCTCATTAGCTACACAAATTTAAGTAAGTTACTTAACCTCTCTGACCCTGACCTAGAGTTTCATCAACTGTAAAAGGTAAATAATAATAACATCTATTTCATAAAGTTATTGTGGTGATTATAACAAACATCACATCTAAACAATGATAAGCACTGTACTTGAAACATTATAGCTGTTACGATTACTTATTAGAAAAGGGCGAAAGACCACAAACTTTTTAAAACCTCACAGTGTTTTCATTTTGAAAACTGATAATCTTGAAAAAGGCAAGAAATGCAGAAATACATGCTACAAGTTGCAGGTATGTGAGTATAGTAAAAGTTGACAGTATTTCCAAAGCACTATAAGAAATGTGTATTTTCAGAGAAGGTGAAATCTTTTGAAGCAGGTCTTGTATGTTGACAAAAAGTGTCTATTTATTTGAAGTCATTCTAACAGACACTTTATGAAAATGGTCTTTATCACAATGTCTCAGGATTTAAATGTCATTATTCCATCAGACTGTCATTTATAAATCTCAATATGCAGGCTGTTTTGGAATGCAGATCGTTATCACTGCCAAACAATATATCCCCTTTCTGCAGTGTTTCTCACACCAATCTTCCCAAATGAATAACCAGAAGCCAGATAAATCTTTACTTAGCAGTGATACCCACCGCATGACACTGATAACCATCCAACGAATATTTATTCAACACTTACTATGTCTCAGGTATTATATATCATGCCCAAAAGATGTAAGAGTATTTAATGTAGTACTTGGGCAATGCTTGCCCTAGAGTCTGTCCAGAGGAGGAGACATACATTGTTATCACAGCACTACTGTGGAAAAAACACAGGGTGCTATGGAAACACACAGCAATACATCTAACCCAAGGGATAGAGGCAGGGGGGACAAAAGAGAGTCAGTGAAGCTTTCCTAGAAAAAGCAACTTTTAAACAAAGACTTGAATGCAGGTGAGACAGAACACCACACACTTAAGGAGGTTCTGTGTGGCTAAAGCATTCAGATAGAGGCGAGCCACAGAAGACATTTTTGAGTCATCTTGAATCAGGACTTTTACCTTAAATCGTACAGAAAGCCACGAAAGTATAAGATATAGGAATAAAAAGAGGGTATTTTATTCCTATTTTTATAAGATCATTTTGTTTTTCAACTCATCATCATATCCTATACATCCTTGCTATACAAAATGTGGTTCACCAACCAGCAACATCAGCAGAAACTGGGAGTCTATTAAAACTTCAGTGAGACAGTTGTAGATATTATGATTAACCTCAATGTAGAGATGAAGTTAAGTTACTGGACAAGATTGCATAGTGGTAAACAAAGAAGTCAAAGAAACAAGGCCATTTCCTTCCAATTTAATTATTTTCTAAAATTACTAAAATGAAGAAAAACCACATTTATAAAGTTATTCTTTGAACTCAGTCTACATTTCATATAGGTCAAAATGTTAAAACTTGCTAAAAATGACCTACTTTATTTGCATTCCAAATACACTCTTTCAACAATAGATTTTCTGTTGGCCGTTATATCTCATTTATCAACCAATCTCAGCTATGTGAAATATTCTGAAAAAACAACCAGGAAGCCACAAAAGGGTGCAGCAGAGATAAAATAAAGATAAATAATTCATGTACTATCTCTCTCTAATGCACATCACCTATATGAAAGCCTCTCACACACACTCACTTGTGCTCATGCTATTGCCTCCAGGTCAGATGATAAACTAGTATGTTAATTAGTAATCTGAGGAGGATATTAATGTAAAAAATGCAAAGTCCCCACCTTAAAGGGCTTACCAATAAGTAACTGGAAGATAAGGCAACATCAAAATGCTATGAGGATGCAAAAGAGAGAGCAGGCTGCATAATATTCTATTGTGTATATGTACCACTTTTCTTTTTTTTAATCAGTCTGTCTATATGTAATTTCAACTCACCTTTGTCCTGTAATGCAATCTGTTGCTTATGCAATAATGTCACCTCCCGTCCCAAAGCTTTCTTCTGTCTTTCCAGTTCATTTTGAAGCACCAAAATTTTTAATTGCAAGCATTCACTTTCTTTTTTCTAAATGAATAAAATCACAGGTAAATTTATGAATTTCAAAGTCATGGCTATAAATAATCAAACATTCACCATTTTTCAAAATAAATAATGGTTTAAGCACATTAATATTCATCAAACCTATAGATCTCTTGAGTAACTTTACCAATGGCCATCCTTGTAATGAAAAGAATATAGAAACCAGCAAAGAATAAAAGTAGAAATAAATGTCAAGTCTGGGACCCCAACAGACACTACATAAAATATCCCTTCCCTGACACCATAATACAGTAAGACAAAAAGTAATAAAAGTAATAAAAAATAAATGGAGTTCTCAAAAAGTTAAACATAAGGTTAGCATGGTACCCAGCAATCTTACTGCTAGGTACACATCCAGGAGAACTGAAAACATGTCCACATAAAGCCCCGAACAAAATGTTCACAGCAGGGTTATTCATAATAGCTAAAAGTGTAAACAACCCAAATGTTGTTTACACTGATGACTGAATAAATAAACCATATCTATACAATCAAATTATTTTGCAATACAAAGAAGTTAAGTACTGATACATGCTATGCCACGGATGAACCTCGAAAATATGTTAAGCCAAAGAAGCCAGTTGTAAAAGGTCACATACTATATGGCTCAATTTATATTACATGTACAGAATAGACAAATCCATAGAAACAAAAAGTAGATTTCCACTCTTGCCAATCTGAACCAAGGGGCTCTAATCCCCTGCCTGTTCAAAGAAGGCCAAGAGGGGGCCTAGGGCTTTTATGCCTGCTAGGTAGTAACCAATCAAGCCCCAGAGGATCAGTGGACACCACATGGAGATCCTGACCTTTACCATCTATCTAGCAGTAATAAAGTGACCCTCTCTCTCCCCAGTGGGGGAGTATCAGAGAAGGCCTAGTGGAGAGTTGGGACTTTCTCTACTACCCAGCGCAAATGCAGGTACCCTACTCCCTGTGATACCAGTGGAAGCCATGGGGGGAGGAGCAGGAACGATGCACTCCCACTCCTCCATGATTATGCCACTGTACTCCAGCCTTGGTAACAAAGAACCCAACTGAAAAAAAGAAACTCTATAGAGAAAAATCAATGAAACCAAAAGCTGGTTCTTTAAAAAGGCAAATGGAACTGATAAAACTCCAGCCCGGTTAGCCAAGAAAAAACAGAGAAAAGACAAAAATTACTAATATGAGGAAAGAGACACAGACATTAACTAAAGAATACTATAAACAACTCTATGTCCACAAATTTTTTAACTTGGATGATACAAACCATTTCTTTGAAAGGCAAACTACCAAAGCTCACATTAGGATATATTGATTAAAGAAATTAAATCAACAATTAACAACCTTGTGAAACAGAAAAAAACCAGGACTAGTTGGATTCATACTGAATTAACAAATATTTAAATGAGAAATCACTTCTTAAAATCTCTTCTAGAAAGCAAGAGCAGGGGGAACACATCCTATGAGGCCAGCTTTACCCTAACTCCAAAACCAAAGTTATCACATAATATTAGCAAATCAAATCCAACAACATATAAAAAGAATTGCATATATAATGGCCACATGGAAATTATCCTAGGAAGGCAAACCTGGTTCAACATTCAAAGAGCATGTAATGTAACTCATCACATCAACAGGTTTAGGAAGAAAAATCAAATGATCAGATCATTAGATGCAGAAAGGGCATGTGACAAAATCCAACACCCATTCATGATAAAACACACATACACACACACACACACACACACACACACACACACACACACCTTTCAGCAAACTAGGAATAGAGAGTAACCTCCTGAACTAGCAAAGAACATCAACCAAATAATCTACAGCTAACATCATACTTCATGATGAGAAACTAGATGCTTCCTCCCTAAGTTTGAGAATAAGACAAGGATGTTTTCTTTCACCACTGCTATTCAACATAATTGGACTCAAAGTTCTAATTAACGCATTAAGACAAGAAAGGGGAGGGGAAAACTACATAGACTGGTAAATAAGAAATAAAAGTATCTTTGCCTGCAAATGATATGACTATGTAGGAAATCCCAAAGAATTGACAGAACAAAACAAAAAACAACCTCCTGGAATAAACAACCATAGCAGGATACAGGATTAACATATACAAAAGGTCAGTTGCTTTCCTATGTAATAGCAATATACAACTGGAATTTAAAATTAAAAACATAACACTTTACATAAGCATAAAATATGAAATACATATAAATCTAACAAAATATACACAAGATTTGTATGAAGAAATCTGAAAAACTCCAATGGCAGAAATCAAAGAAGATCCAAATAAATAGAGAAATGGTTCATGTTCATGGAAAGGAAGAATTAATATTAAGATGTCAGTTTTTCCCAATTTGATAAATTCCATTAAATCCCAATAAAAATGTCAAGTTATGCTGTTGTTACAGGAACTGATTCTAAATATAAAGACGAAATATCCAAAATACACACTGCGTATTGATGGAGAAGAACAACGTCAGAGGACTGACAGCAGTAGTCAATGTCAAGACTATACACTATACACTACACAATACAGCTGCAGTGATCAAGACAGCAAGGTATGGGTAAAAGGATAGACAGATGGATCAAATGAAATAGCTCAGAAATAGATTCATACAAAGACAGCGAGAGCATCTTTGACAAAGAAACAAATGCATTTCAATGGAGAAAGGATAGTCTTTTCACCAAATGATGCTGAAATCACTGAACAGGCACAAAAAAAAGGGGGGGGGGGGTGAGGGAGGGAAGACAATATAGACCTTACACCTTTAACAAAAAATTAACTCAAAGCAGATCACAGACCGAAATGTGATATTAAAACTTATACATCTTCTAGAAGCTAACAAGGGAGAGAATCTAGGTGACTTTGGCTTTGAGGATGTCTTTTTAGATACAACACCAAAAGCAAGATTTATGACAGAAGAAACTGATGACTTGGACTCTGTTAAAATCTGTGAAAGACAACAGTTATGAGATGAAAGGCAAGTCACAGACTGGGAGAAGATCTTTCCAAAAAACATATCTGATAAAGAACTGATATCCAAAAAATGCAAAGAACTCTTAAACCTCAACAATTAGAAAACAAACAAACTCAATTAAAAATGGAACAAAGACCTGAACACGTACTGTGCCAAAGAAGATAAATAAATGGCAAGTATATGAAAAGATGCTCAACATCATGTAACTACAAATTTAAAAAACAATGAGATATAACTACATATCTCATTTGAATAACTGAAATTCAAAGTTCTGACAACACCAAGAGCTGACAAGGATACAGAACATGAGGAACTCTCGTTCACTGATAACAAAATAGTATAGTCACTTTGGGAGATAGTTTGACAGTTTCTCACAAGGCCAAATATAGCCTTATTATACAACTCAGTAATTATATTCTTAGATACCAAACCTGGATGAACTGAAACTTCACCTCTACACAAACACCTATACACAAATGTCTATAGCAGCCGAGGCTGTGGTGAGCCATGATCATGCCACTGCATTTCAGCCTAGGTGACAAAATGAGACCCTGACTCCAAAAAGGGGAGGGCAAGGGGAGGGAAGGAAAGGGAAGTATGATTCCTACTTTGTGAAATTCTGTAAAAAGTAAAACATGGAGACAGTCAAAAGATCAGTGGTTGCCAAGTACTCACAGGAAGGGAAAAAAGGACGAGTAGGTAAAGCACAGGGTACTTTTAGGGCAGGGAAACTATTCTGTAGGATACCATAATGTAGATACATAATATAATACATATGTCAAAACTCATAGAACTGTTTAACAGAAAAAATAAACTCTAATGTCAACTATGAACTTTAGTATTAATATTGATTCATCAATTACCACAAATGAGCCGGGCTTGGTGGCTCAGCCTGTAATCCTGTGCCTTTGGGAGGCCGAGGTGAGTGAATTGCCTGAGCCCGCGGGTTTGAGACCCGCATGGGAAACTTGGTGAGACCTCATCTCTACAATAAATCAAAAATCAGCCAGGCGTGGTAGCACGTGCCTGTAATTCTGGCTACTCGGAAGGCTGAGGCGAAAGGATCGCCGGAGCCCAGCAGGTCGAGGCTGCAGTGGCCGGGAGCGGCCACTGCACTCCAGTCTGGGCGACAGAGTGAGACTCCAACTCAAAAAAAAAAAATTACCACAAATGTACCACACTAGTACAAAATGTTACATTAGGAGAATCTGGGGCAGGTGGGGTATATGGAAAATCTCTTTACTTTCTGCACAATTTTTTGATAAAGCTGAAATGGCTTTAAAAAAGAAAATTTTGTAGTTCCAGCTACTCAGAAGGCTGAGGCGGAAGGATCACTTGAGCCCAGCAGGTCGAGGCTGTGGTGGCTGTGAACGTGCCACTGCACTCTAGCCTGAGCAACAGTGTGAGACTCCAACTCAAAAAAAAAAAAGAGAGAGAGAAAAGAAAATTTGAGGTCGAGCACAGTGGCTCACACCTGTAATCCAAGTACTTTGGGAGGCCAATGTAAGAGGACTGCTTGAGCCTAGGAGTTCGAGATTAGCCTAGGCAGCATAGCAAGACCTCGCTTCCTACAAAAAAATAAGCCTGGTGTGGTGGTATGTTCCTGAAGTCCCAGGTACTCAGGGGGCTAAGGTGAAAGGATAGCCTGAGCCCGGGAGGTGGAGGCTGCAGTGAGCTGTGATTGTGTCACTGCACTCCATCCTAGGCAACAGAGTGGAACTCTAACTAAAAAAAAATAAAAAATAAAAAAATAAAAATCCCTGGCTCATTCTACCAGTCAGTGATACAATTAAATTTGTTAAGTAAGTTTGTTAACTTACCTTTCCATATAAATATTTCCTACCTAAACTTACATCCAACAATTGTTTAAACTTTACTATGACTCTTTTTTCCTCCAAAAATCTTGCTGGAGTTTGCCTCCAGATACAAATTTGAAATCCCACCCCCACAAAGAATACATATGTGCCTGGACATGTGTGCATATACCCACGATTACTGCTCTATGAA